GGACGGGACAAGTAAAAGGTTAAAGTTGAAAAAAAGGGGATGAAAGAAGCAAAATAAGCAAGGGAGGTGTAGCGAAGCTGCGCAAAAAACAAACAAAACATGGCATTCCTGCACTTTCCCGATGGCATCAAAGACGGGAATTTAGAGTTTGGGCGTTTGGAGGGATGCAGGATTTGGGAACCCAGCTGCAGGATGCCATTAGACGAGATTGGGGTTGGTGATGCCCGGTAGAGAGCGCGAGGCGACGGCTGGTTTGCAGTGGCGTACCCCATGTGGTGGCGGTTTGTTTGCCTAGAGTTTGAGTGACATGGCAATTTTAACTTTGGCCTTTTCTTAGGCTAATGCTCATCATCGTTGTCTATGCCATGTGAAAGCCGGGGAAGGAGGAGGCTGGAGGCTGAAGGGCTAGCGTGAGGGGTCCGAAAGCGGGGGTGGGTGGTGATAGTCGGTGGTGGATGGCGAAAACGAACGAAAGAGGGTGGTCAGGATCTTAGTGTTGGTGGGTGGTGGTGTGTTTACTCCGGAGTACTCCTATGGTATGAAATTCCATGTGATTTGCGAAAATAGGAAAAAAGACCAGATCTCAGTCTCATCACCCTCCCTATCATCTGATCGATCTATCTGCTGCGGGATTTTCCCGCCCGAACCGAATACAAGATACTGGACATACAACACGACGTGCGGCGTATGTTGCATACATGGATCTATCCTTCCATGCATTATTACCACTCGACTTCCCCTTGGTCTGTGTATGATACTCCACTCCCTCATATGTGTGTGCGTATAAGTGTGTGAGTGACACCACGGGATCCAGTACCGCGCCTCTCTCCGTTGAGAGCGAAAGTACGAGCTGTAACGTCAGTCGGAGGTGAGAGAAAAGGATGAGAGGCAAGGACCATAAAAGCGGGTAACGGACATGCTCCTGCATGATTGTCAGAGCGAGGAAAAAAAAAGCAAGCCTGCAGCTTGGGTCCGCCGCAAGGTGCAAGACCAAGATGAGCATCGTGCAACGATCTGTGTGATATGTGTATGGGTAAACATGCAGGGTGTCTCGAGCCAACACCAACACCGAGACAAGAGAAACGCAGGGGCTGGATCGATCTTCAAATCTGCCTCTGCCACCTTGCCCTGGCAGCTGGCAGCTGGCGCCGCGTGGTTGCGCAATGTGATACAAATGTCATCTTTCGGCCTTGTAGTCCAGCCATTCACAGCGAAGAAGCAAATCTCCGCCTTGCCTAGTTTGTGCTGCTCTCTCCGAACCATCGGGGGGCGAGGGAGCGTTGGGATCCGCTGGTTCGGCGCGCGCTACCTTTTCCTACACCGGTATATCGTGAGTGGGTGGTACCGATGGCACCCTACAACGTAGTCGCCCATCCTACAGTTGCTATATCGGTGTCGGTATATCAAACTTTGCCATCCGTCGCAGAATGTGCTGTTTGGAGAAGGCCCCTTGCATAATGGCAGCGCAGGAGCATCTAGGTGTATAATCGCCTGCGAGGTTCCTGTATCATGATGGGATCTTCTCTTGGATTCGGGTCCTACTACCGCATTTTGATCGAACCTACGTCTTGTGTGGTATGCGCGGTCATCCGTCTGACGAAGATCCTGTGAGCGCATCTCCTTTGTGGCACAGTCGCTGGAATGGCATGACGGACGATGGCGGCTGAAGATGATGGGTTTCACAGCCGATGTGGAGGTGTGCACGGGATGGATGAATGCGTTTGGAGAGTGGGTACTGCCGTCGGGCCTAAGCTTTCTTTATCTCCGCAGCCGTCTGGCTGGCCGTTCATATGGAGCATTAGCTGGCTGGAAGGTACGACCCGACCAATTACGTCCTGCACATCGAAATGAGGTAATTGCAGCATTGTCACTGCTGGTATGCTGTCTCACACGCTCACGATATCGGGTGCACGTGCGTTCAGGTTCAATTGCCCGCATGCTTGAGTGTGGAGTATCTGCCAACTTGCGAAGAAATGCTTCGCTGCCGCCAGTTCCGATTCGCTGCGTATCCCCGTTGATGACATGTATTTCTCGACCCTGCTTGGATTGTTGGCGGCGCATATTGCCTTTATCAGCCGCAAGCGAGGCACCGCGCTTGCAGGCGACGTACTGTGATGCAATCTTGGGAGCTATACCGAGTGTCACATATAGACAATATATCGTGATGACAACGAAGAAGGATCCTTCCGCGCTTGATCCACTTTACGAGAATGACCGCCGTTCGGCCCAATGCAACCGCGACCCGTCTCTTGCCTGTTCCGACCTGGCTGCATAGTAGGCCCTGGCTTTTGACAGCTGTCATTGCCACGGTTGTGATGAGGAGCGTAGTCTTGCAGACGCGGCTTGTCCTGTGATGACGGCAGGGGGTTCAATTCCAGGTCCCTCAATTCGCTCCACTACTGACTGTGAGGGGGCGGTTTTCGCTGCGCCACGAGTCAGCGCCTACGCGCGCAGGAGGCAACGGGGGAAATTCGCCGGCACGCCTGAACGGCAGTTTCTTACGTGAGGTCAAGACATCCCAGTGTTCCCGCAACGGATGGCGAGTCAGACTTAATGTGAGTTTGCGCGCGAAGCGAAAGAACTGGAGTGTTTGGTTCTGGCCCGCGGTGGCTGATGCGCCAATCAAACCGTGGGATGGGTCGAGCTTCAGGGAGAGCCCGCGACTCAACTCCAAGGGGGCTTGTGCAGCGCCAGTCGGGGCTACTCCATCCAAGGCTACGCTCTTGCGGCTAGCGTTTCGCTGGGACAGACGGAACTGGGAGGACGGTTACGATTACTGTCTGTGCATTCCCGCGGTCGATGATGTATCGCCAAGCTGGGGAAGCGGAAATGGATATGAATGGCATCTGTATGCTGCTACTGTATCAGGAAGGAATGGATCGCGTGGGTACAATAAAGCGTCTAGAGCGTCCAGGTTCATGCATAGAAGATTGACTTGTGCAGAAAACCTGCTAAGAACTGGAGCCGTAATTCTGGGTCAGTTTCCGATGGCTACGTGGCTTCCGTTGCGACTCTGCATCGTCGGGCGGACAGTTTCCATGCGGCGTAAATGGGAAAGTTTTGCTGTTCAAACAGCCCCTTGCACATGCTATGACGTAGGCGCGCAGCCGTCTTGATGCCGTATGGTGCCGAAGTATACCCAACGGCACTTAAGCATTGTCTTCGGCAGTGCAGCCAGGATGCAAGACCGGGTACAGCAGGTTTGCATTCACGTCGCGGGCCGATTGTATACCCACATTCTCAAACAACCGTCCAGGCGTTGTGACTCGATGAGCGCGCCCGCGGCCTCGCGTCCCCAGCCAACGACACAAACCGTTAGCACCCACCGAGAGAGTTTTGCCTGCGCTAGAGCCCAGATCTGCAATCGACACCCAGCGTTTCCCGAAGGCGCTGTGTGCTCCGAGCGATCGACGCCGACTATTTATACAAGAACGTTGCAAGGGCAGTGCGAGGTCTTTGAACCCGGTGATTCGGATGTGTTGCGGGTGCATTTCGTTCAGTTTGGTGAATTCTAAGCGACCGATTGGGTTTGCATGGTCAAATCGTGAGGCTAACAAGAAAAGATCAGCAGGCAGTCGCGTGAGATGCGTGGCGAAGCCCATCAGAACGGTATCGAAACGGTGATGATTGGCGAGGCTGATGACGCTGCTTGATGAGGTCATTGTCTATTGCTAGATCTGTGGGTGTCGAACTCTGGCTTCTCATTTGTTTCTCCCAACCAGGAACACCATGCTTACTTTACTGCACAAAGAAAGACGCACCAGCTGCTCACCCTCGAGGCGTGCACAACAATCGCCCATGTGATCTTATTCCAGTTTCCGACAATGCGTTCCTGTGTACATAGCTGCGTTCCAGCCACATCTCAGATCCACGATGATCCAGCTCAAAAATCGATATTCGAGCGCATACCGGACTCGGCCAAACTCGAGCGGCGCCGAAAGACTCCGCTGTACCGGAATGGGGAAGTTGAGCGACGAATTATGATTAGCCGCGATAGCGAGTTCAACAGCGTTGGTGATTCGGGAAGCCCCGCTCGGCAGCCGTCAGCCGTGTCACTCTATACCGTTTCCGCCAACAGCAATGTAAGGGTGTGGCTAGTCATGCAGGTAATTCGGATAGCGTAACTTGTATCAAGTCCCTCAGCTATGATTCGTTGATTCGCCAAGTATGAGGCGTTGAATGATGTCGATACGGTAGAGCTTTGCCAGTTGTGAATGTGCCAGCCGTTGTACAGTTGAGGAACGAGACCATGTCAGTAAAGACTGCATCCGTGTGCAAGGCTGAAGGGATCGATCGTGGTACCGGAACTCTGTTTCAGCGGATCCATATTGGTTGATACTTTGGGTTTCGTACCGAACCGCTTTGACGCTCTTCGCTTGGGCGGGGCTCGTGCATCCATGTCGAGGCACGGGATGCTGGGCCCCTAATGAGTGAATAAGGTTTCTGAGTTTCGCGCTTTGGTAACAGGGTCGTTAGTGGAGACCCGACTCGTGCAGTAGTCCAACAGTTGTGAAGAGATCAGATTGGGTATAGGAGCAACATCGTCGAGTAATAGCTGGTGTGATAGGTACATGCTGCCGACGCCGCACATCGGGCGCCGGCGGAGGTGTGAAACGTAGATGCGAAGGCGTCCCATGTACACGGTGTGATACATGGCTTCATGACGCGCAGAAGATATGAGCAGCAACATGACAAATCCCGCTCATCATGGAGCGCCACAGTGGCATGGCAGCCATAACGCCAGAGGGAGTGGCTCTCTCGAAAACAATAACGCCAATTCTTTTCCTTTCCACCTCTTTCAGGCGGCGAATTCTTACAGTACCAAATACCAAGGATAGCACCTAAGTCAAAAGCGAGAAGAGGACCGGATGTGGGTATAGCGGAGGCTCTTCTTTTGCTGTCATAGAACACCAACCCCAATGCAAATGCGAACGTGAATCGAATGAGAACTTTCGTGTGCTGAAGCGTAATCGTGAACGAGATGGCGTAGACATTACGACCTATGCTGGAGCGGTCGGGCGGACGGGTGGCGTCGAGTTGGAAGGAGGGTCGAATGTTACTACTTTCCGGTACTTGGAGGCCTCGTGAGGAATCTCGGACTTTCGCTTGGCGGAAACGGGATAGGCTGGAGCATTAGGTGGCGAAGGGTCTTCTATGCTTCTGCTTCGTGACTTTTGCGGGGCTTCCGTGTCGGGCGGGCTGGTTACGGCTGCTGGACACATTTGATGTTGGCGTACCCAGTGTGCGTAGGCTTCATCAGCATACTTGGTGTGGTTCTCCAGTCGTTTAATGTAGTCCTGGGTGAGTCTTGTCTGCTCGTGAATATTCTGTGCTGGTGAACTCAGACGGAACTGGTTCTCTCCGGGTAAGGGCCGCTTCCAGCGGACGCCGCAGTTCTTGCATCGCTCCACTTGGGGCGTATTTTGCTGCTGAAGCTGGGCTAGATCGTCTGGAGGAGGGGGCCCAGAGCTGATGGCCAAGATGGCCTGTTCCACAGAGGGTGCGATGGTGTGCTCAGGCGATGGCTGTTCTTCGGGAGTCTCCACTGGCACAGGGACTGCCGGAAGGGGGTCTGGCCGGGGTCTCTGATTTGGCGGCATGTTTTCCGAGGTGTAGACTGTGTTGAATCTTACGTTGTAGCGTTGATGTCGCCCGCCGCCGTTTGTTTGGTCCAATGTGGGAGATGGAAGTGGTCTCCTGGATCCAGAATCTGGGTTGGCGTCTCGAGCCTGCTCCGGCGACCTGGACGATTCCGTGAAAGCGTGGGGGCCTGAGGATAACGATGGGGAAGGTGCACCGTTTGGATGGCGGGTTCCTGCCTCTACGGGTGCCTGATTTGAGCGGTTATCGCTCGCTGGGGAGCGTGGCGAAGAAGGCGCAGCTGGATGTGAGATGGGACGGGACGTGTTAGATTGACGACCATTACCCGCAGCAGGGTGGAAATAAGAAAAGGCCAGCACAGAGGAGGGGAGAGTGGGTTCGGATTCCTTTGGGTTTTCGAAGCGATGGGAGATGGCCGAGTCTTGGCGGACGCTGGCGGACGGATGTGGTGGTGGATGGGAAGATGCAGAGGAAGAGACAGGCGGACTGTAGGCAGCAATTGGGCCCTGGGGCAGTGAGAGAGAAAATGGTTGATGTTCGGGGCCCAGTGGTGGAATTCTGGTGTTGGTGGGGCTGGCCAGCAAGTCAGCACGCTTGCGGCAGGCTCTGTCACGGCTATAACTTACCTGACGTGCGGGCTCGCGTGATTGACGGCGGTGAAGGAGCTGGAATGTGAGTTTGGATGCGCAAAGTCTTGCTGCGAGACAGGACGATCTTGGGGCGTCGGCGGCGGCGGCACGTTGTCACGCGGACGGTGCAGGACTGAGTCGGACGACGAGGTCAGCTCAGCAAAGCTGGGGAGCGTCCGCTGGGGAAAGTGGTTGGGGTCGGGCTGCGGGTGCCTGCGTGGATGCCAGTCGCTTCCCATCATGGCATTCGGACGTGTATAAGAGTGTGGCGGTCTGGCGACGCGGTGAGGAAGTTGTGCGTGAGGAAGAAGGGCAGGGTCGCACAAGGAGTAGGGTCTCACGGGTAGAGTGGAAAGGGTCTAGCGATGCAGCAGCTCGAGTGCAGCGCTGGGCCCGCACTGGAAGAAGCGGCTGGCGGCCCTAGTTGAGGGACAGGGCATGTCACTGGTTTGCGCGCGCTGCGGGGGAAGGCGCTGCTGCTGCACTGTGAAAGAGAGCTTTGGGGCCCACTTGAGATGGCATGCAGCGGGGACCTGATGCCGTCGACGAACCCATGCCCCCATGTCGCCCACCCACCGCCACCCATGGTGCGCCCTCTGCCACCCTGCCACCCATGTCCAGCCAACACCCATGTCCGCCCATGGGCCTCGCACGGCGGGACGCCAGACGCGGAAGCGTGCGAAGCGCTAAGGGGCTCGGGGCTGACGGCTGGAGATCCGCTTGTGGCATGCCAATCTTGCCAGACTCGAGCTGCCGCCCGCCCCCGAGCGCACGAGAACGACCTCGGGAGCCTCGCGAGTGACCCAGTGACTGCAATGACCACAGTGACCACCGTGACAACAGTGACCGCCAGTGACCACCAGCACTGTGCACCCATCTGCCACAGACCTCGACCACAGCAAGCCGCCCGCTGACTGGCTGTGGGAAACACCCCCGTGTCCTCACTCTTCTGTCTACCCGGCTGTGCGCCCACTGCGGCTAGCTGCTTACCTAGCCCAGCCCCACGTGACCGTCCCGTGACCGCCCATGCCCGTCCCATATTCGTCCTCCAATCTGCCTCTCCGCCAGGGTGTCCCTTTGCTTCTTTGGACGACTGCGGCTGCAGCCGAATGAACGCAACTGTGGGCTTCCCGTCTCGGCCACCGACGCGCCGCGACAACGACGCGCTGCAACGGGCAATGCAATGCTGCAAACACTGCTCTGGAAACGACGCTGGAAACGCTGACGTCGCTTACTCCGGAGCACCTCTGACCTGATGACTGTGCCGCCCTCAGCCGCCCATTGCCCGTCGCCCGCCCCTCCAGACCACGCCCGCCAAGTGCCTCACCTCACGAGTGGCAGCACCTCAACACGCCCGCCCATATCAGAACCTCCTCCTCGGCCTCCCAAAACCGTTAGTCGCTAGCTCTCATCTCGCCATTTGCTGTTTCGGCTAGCACTCAACGGTGCTTGTGGCGCCAGGCGGCAGGCTACAGCTGCACCCTCCTGACGCATCCAACGGCCATGTTAGTGCCCTGCAACATCTCTCGCCCCATTGCCTTCACCGATGCGACATGGGCGACTCTCAATTACCGGACCGAATAGGAATCCTCCCGCGCGCGCTTTTCCAAACAAGTGCCTATCTTGGTATCTCGACCCCCCTCTGATTGGCTCGTGACCCGCCCCTGCCTCCTGCTTCACCGATGACTACATTCGAAGGACCTCGTCTACGAGAACGTCAAAACGCGGACATTTTCAACCAGACACTAAACGGTGTGCAAGAGCTGGAATAAAGTTAAGCTACTGTCCATCACCTTGTGCGCCGAAATGACCTGATCAGTGATCAGACGTGCCTGTCGTCGTGACCTTCGGGTAGCTGCATGGCGATCCTACAGTGCTATCGGCCTGCCACGCCGCAAAGGAAGATCCCTCTGCTCGCAGTATCAAAATAGCTCTTCATGTGGGGGGCGTATTCGCTCGCTACTATACTATCGTGTCTGGGCAACTCAAACAACATGCGTCCCCTAAACCTGCAAGCGATAATGCAAGTCCTTCACGGCTCTAGCCAAATTGACTGTGCAGCGCATTCGACAACGCGCACATGAAGTCGCCGTCTGATTTCCCGAGCATCAAGAGCCTTACGGGATGCCGCAAAACCACCAGCGGGCCGAGTTCCTGACTCTGTTATCTTCCTGATCAGCTTTCCCGCAAGTTTCACGAGTGTTTCCTGTCGTGGTACAAAGTCATTATCCTGAGTGTTACACCACAAGCCAAGGCACTCATCATCAGCCCAAGCCTAGGCCCGAGACCATTACCTCGCCACTATCCGATTGCTCCATCTGCAGATCGATGAATTGATGCCTTCCTTGCATTCATCCTCTGCCTGCATAGCAGCACGTCTGTTCACGGTCAGATCCACCTGGCGGACTTAATCATCCGGCCTACCATGGTCATCACGGACGCCCGTATAGAACACGTATGTTGCTCGCATGGGCATGTTGTAGCTAGCGAGTCCATCAATGCGGTTGAGCCATGTGAGTGCTAAGCCCTAGGTTTACATTCGCACATCCCTGTCACCGGGAGTCGTTCCCCGCCTCGCCTGCATCACCAAAACGATGCTAATCATCTCTCAAAGACCGACCACGGACATTGAAGAGACGTTGCGCCAATCAAACTCAGACACCGCAGGATGAATGTTTGGCTCACACCGGCAGTACAGACCCACCCTCTAGCAAACTTCCTCACGTCTGTGTGGCAAGCTTGGCCGTCAATCATTCGCTTAGGCATGTATGCGTGCCTGCACGACATCGCAGCATCGAACCTTTAGATGCACGACGCCCCCGTCCAGGTTAGCTTGAAGCAATCCGTGCGAGAGAAAGCTGGAAGCCCAGACCTACTGCTTGTAGGTGAGCAACAGTCCCTGCTGTGCAGACCCTTCTGGTGCGACTGACTCACGCATCGCATGCTCAGCAACGTGACAAGGCTGAGATGGCGCAATCGTCAGCTTCGTAATCATGTTCAGGTCACGCCTGTTCGTGCCTGGCGATGCCTCGCATGCGTTATCTGGCAGATAGAGCAGCTAGCCTCGTTCTCACGACTATCCATACCTCATTTGCCAGTCAGCATATTTACAGTGGATTGCCAACGCGTGCATATACGCGAACAGCACCATGCCCATCCACAAGCAATGCGATTGGCCTGTACTTCCCAAATTCCAGCGTCCTGGGCCCCAGCCAAGTGACTGCCGACTAGTCGCTGCAGCCTTGGACCGTAAACAGCTGAAGGACTGTCACTCTATCCACCATCGGCCCTTCTTTGGGGGGACGCCCTTTTCGCCGTTCCTTTTCAAGTGACTAGCCTTATGCCTCGGCTCGTTGCCGTGTGAGAAAGACGTTGGAGATATGATCACGCTGTGCCGCTTGCGCGAGTATGCTGACCTCCAAGGATGATCCACGCCCTGCACCTCCCGCGCGCAAGAAAATTTTGGCACTCACACCGATATCTCACAGAGTGCAACGCCATCAGAACAAACGCCTCGTCGCGAAGGCTTCGTCAACTCTTTCTTAACGGCGACTGCTTCACCCGGAGCATTGACCAAGCGTTTCAGGGCAATTATCCTGAACTGTGGGGCACCATCCGGGCCGCATCCGTACCTTAAACCAACATCTAAACTTCATGCGAGAGGCAATGTTACGCATCGTTCCTAGCACTGCGCAGGGCCATGGCAAAGATGAAGGGGAGATGATTCGCGCCCGGGTGTGCTGACTCGAACTTTGCCGCAGGAAGCCGACGTTCCAGATGGATGCACACCCAGCAGCGTGGTAGTGCGATCCACGAATTATTGTACGGACGATCGTACGGACGATAAGCATCCAAATAAGGCAGTTGTCGTAAAAATGAACTCGCTGATGGAGAGAACTAACACCAATCAGTATATGCATTTTGCTTTTCCACTGACTGGAGCCGGCGTGCACAGCCGCTCGTCCCGAAGGAGTCAAGGTACGGGTAGCTATAGCGCTTCTTCATGCACGACATTGTGATCGGTAGGAAGAAAAGCAAACGCGCCTTTGTGTGCAGCCATCCGACAGCCTCTTCCTCAGCGAACAATGGCGCAATTGAACCCTTTTCTTTAAGAAACGAGGAGGCTGATAACGCCAGAGGATTCCAGAAGAAGCAATAAACTTTGTGGAGGCTATTGGCACTACAGCGCCAGAAGGCAAATCTAACCGAACCCCAGAACGAGAATGCCGTATGTCGAGATGGGCCTGCGACTACCACAAAATCATTTCTCTCTATACTCAATATTGCGCAGGATGAGCGCTTACAGCGAGGTTTTGCCGGGAAGACCTTGTCTACACGACACACAATCTACCCACCTGACCTCCGTTGGATGCGGCCACCTTATTCAAGGATAAAATCGAATACCCTGGAGCCTACCTTGACGTTCGATCACCTACTTTGCATGTCTCCATTTTGATTCAGGCTGTAGTAGACCTGCTCAGTATTCTTCTTGTATGAGGTCATACGGCGCATATCCTCTTCCAAGTGCTGAATCCGCGCTCGCATCCAATCCATTTCGCCGTGATTCGCCTCGACCTCCTGCTCGTGCAGCCGTTTCAGAAATAGACAGTCTTGGTTTCGGCTCTCTGCAACCGACAGCAGATGGTGGAACTCTTGTTGCATGGCCCTAGTGTCGCAATTCATGGCTGCCGTC